TAAAAGAATCAGAAAACTGAAATATTGTTGGTTGAAAAAAAAAATTGTTTGCTTGTTACTATACAACTGTTTTGTTGGTGCTGAGAGCGACATGAAAGAAATGAACGTTAATTACTATTCATAAAGAACATTAATTATGATTTGGTGATAAAGCCATATGGAATTCTGAAATACTATAGAAAAGAACATTGAATAAGCACGCACACAGTATAGAACTATTTGAAATGTGGTGGCGCGCATTGAAGCCCTTGGATTCAATTAGAATAGGTGGGTGGAGAGCAGGGCTCTTTGACAAGACTCGTACAGTGGTTTTTGTCGTTTCATTTTTTTTTTCTTCTCTCTGCGGGTATATATTCGAAACGAAATAGAACGAGAAATATAAAAGGGGGAGTCTCTAAGGAGACGATGAGGGTTATCCTTGCGCCAGCTGATCGATAAAGCCATACCTTTTGCTTTTATTTATACTCTTTAAGATGCTGTCCGAAAGCAATCGTTTCCAAAATTCAAGAAAACACCCTGAAATATTCTTTCTTTACTCGCAGTAAAATCCAATACAAACATATCACTTTATGTAAATATTTTTTCTTGATGCCACACTTTTAATTTCAAGAAATCATAATTCTTTTTTGTCTGTGACATATTTCATGACTACAAATCTTAATTAGTGAAATTATACTAATCAATAATTCAATGAAAAGTAACAATTTATTTTTATTTATTTTCAATTGATAACATAGTCCTGTGAGGGTGAGTTTCTAAGATAGTTTGAGTGATTCTTTTAGATTTTTTTATGCTGAAAACGAATCTGACCTTCAAAATCTTCCATCACGTCAGAATTTTTTGTAAATGAAGTATTTATGATAAATTTTTTTTTTCAATTTTCGACAAAAGGATCGTGTAGTACTATACTCTTCAGCTTTAAACCCCATTTTTGAAAAAATTACATTACGATTTTTTTTATAAAAAAAAAACTAGGACATTTTAAAATTAACAGTTTTAGTTACTATAACATACACTTTCTAAATCTGAATTACATAGTAGTTTTCTACTAATGAAAGAGTGCGGATTCGTTTACCAATTGAATTAGTAACAGTTTTGACTCTTCTTTAGTAGAAAACTACTAATTGCTAGTAGAAAACTACTAACACAGGTTTACAAATTTCAAATTTTTTTTTGTCACTCGAACAAAACATTTTTTTTTCGATTAATGTGTGTTTTTTGAGTAAGAAAATCATATTTTAAATTTTTTTCCCTCGTGCAATTTTTTTGTAACAGCAAATTATGCATTTTCCAGGTGTGACGTCATTTAAAGTCACCGGTAGAGAAAGCAGTTAATCCAAATGTAAAAAATAAATCAGCATTTAAAAGATAATTAAATTACCTTTCAAACCATTGATCAACCAATAAAATCCAATCAAAATTGTCAGAGTTACAGTCGATCAAAATTCAAATTTCAAGCATATTTTAATGATTTTTAGACATTCGTCTAACTTTCGATAATTTTTTCAAAGTCAAACAATCAAAAAAAGGCAACTTTTAAATTTTTTTATTAATAGTATATTTAATTACGAAACTTTTAAGCCTTTATAGACCTCGATCGGATAAAAAATGACAATTCTACACTAGATTTATTGAACAAAGTACTTTTTCACTTTTAGTATATTTTCAAGTGATTTCGATATATGTCAGTGCTATACAGTTTGGGTAATCCAACCAAACGAATAGTACTTCCAAAGAGCAAGATGTCTGAATCAGACTTCACATGGCTAATATAACCTAACTTACCTGCCAATTAGACAGACTGTATAACCAATTCAACCAGAAATCTCAACCATAAGTTTATGGCTGAAATTTCGATAGCATTTCTTTCAGTGTACTCGGGGGTTTACGGGGTCGTTGATTACGAATTTGAGGTTAGTTTTTTAAAATTCAAAATGGCGGATCCAATATGGCGGACAAAATTTTAGTAATTAGAAATGAATTTTGAAAAACTGACCTCGAATTCGTAATCATCGACCCCAAAAACCAGATCGAAATCACTTGAAAATATACTAAAAATGAAAAAGTACTTTGTTCAATAAATCTAGTGTAGAATTGTCATTTTTTATCCGATCGAGATTATTTGCTGTTACAAAAAAATTGCACGAGGGAAAAAAATTTTAAATATGATTTTCTTACTCAAAAAACACATATTAATCGAAAAAAAATGTTTTGTTCGACTGAAAATTCCACTGTAAACCTGTGTAATTCATGAAGTAAATGGGCTTACTAATTTAAAATATTAAAAAATACGATTTACTCCATGAATTAGTAGTTTTCTACTAAAAAAGAGTCAAAACTGTTACTAATTCAATTGGTAAACGAATCCGCACTCTTTCATTACAGTATAAAACTACGAATTCAGATTTAGAGAGCACGTTATTATCCTAATTTTATCCGACGACGATTTTTTAAGAATTTTAAGAATTTAAGAATATTACATGCTCACAGTTTTCCTAAAAGTATCAAATTGAGACCAAAAATTGCATTAAATCTTTGCAACGTTTTGATGCACATAAGTTATATCAAAAAGAGATCGTTTTGTGTATCATTTTTAGAAATGATACACGAAACGGTCTCATTTTTTGATGCAAAAAATTTAATCAATTTTTATCAATCATGGCCGAATTGAATCGACTCAAAATTAAACGAATTTTTTTCAGATATTTTGGTAATAGTACAATGGCGGAGACCATTTCACTATTTAATTTGAAAATGAAAATAACAGAAAATCAAAGACAATGTGCAATTCGATAATTAAAAAGTGACAGCTTATAAACATAACCTAAAATGCATGAGAAAAAATTTGTCGATAAAATCAATATAGCCGAGCTTTTTAGAAGGTAGATGGCAGTTTTGCTTTTTATAAAAACGATTCAGAAAACATTTAAAGAAAGAAAATAGACGAGTGCTGCCATCTACCTTCTAAAAAGCTCGGCTATATTGATTTTATCGACAAATTTTTTCTCATGCATTTTAGGTTATGTTTATAAGCTGTCACTTTTTAATTATCGAATTGCACATTGTCTTTGATTTTCTGTTATTTTCATTTTCAAATTAAATAGTGAAATGGTCTCCGCCATTGTACTATTACCAAAATATCTGAAAAAAATTCGTTTAATTTTGAGTCGATTCAATTCGGCCATGATTGATATAAATTGATTAAATTTTTTGCATCAAAAAATGAAACCGTTTCATGTATCATTTCTAAAAATTATACACAAAACGATCTCTTTTTGATATAACTTATGTGCATCAAAACGTTGCAATAGAAAAAGATACAACCAAGTTTACTGTGTGAAAATTCAGTATTTGATGCTATTCTCACTGAAGAAGCTACAGTCTCGAGGAGGAATTTACTCAGGTAGTCAAGTGTACACTCTTCCTGTAATACTTGTGTAATACCGTGTAATAATGCGTTATTACGGTACTGTAATAATGCAAAAAGTCTGTAATATCTCTGTAATAATGTGTAATACTCTGTAATAACGTGTAATGCTTAGTAATAAGGGTAATATGAGGTGTATTACTGGTAGTCAAGTGTACACATTTTTAACTAGTAAATTCCCCCTCGTACAGTCTACACTTAAAGGTAAAAATTAATTGCAAGAATCGAATCAAATGAAACTTAGTACTCAAAGATTTTAGAGGTTCCTGATAACAAATCGGATGCCAGTTTTTAAAAATTCAATAACTTTATGAAAATTAATAAATTTTGAAGAGAAATATATCAGCCGCTGGAAGGTAAAACAACACATAAACTCCTGACTCCCATTGCATTAGAATATGGCGTTTAGAATTTTATGTGTTGTTTTACTTTCCAGATGCTCATATTAACATGCTGAATATAGCACTGTCAAATGCAAGTATGAAATATACATTTAGTATTCAATTTGAATTGCGGTGATTGAATATAGGTAAGTAAAGTTAATAATACGATTATATAACCAGATTCCAGCTGGATGAGTTTTGCAGGACGTCCGCAGAATGAGCAATTCATTGTCTACGGATTATAAAATATACCTTCAGAAACAGAATTATTATAACATGATGAGAGTTTTCTTCAATAACAAAAATAGAAATTCGAATAATTTAATTACTGACACTACGATAAATATCAACTTTATTTCTTTAGAAAAAAAAAATCAACATCAATAAAAATTTTTCGCATAAAATTTTGTCAACAATTTTTTTTCTTCCTTTAAAAATATTGTTTTGTTCGATTTTAGAACGATTACATTTTCGTTGCTAAATTTGACATTTTTCTCCTTGGCCAAGAGATCTAAAGTTTGCACAAGCAAAATTCACTCAAGAGGAAGTTTACATATTCTCAGCAAATATTTATTTCTCGGTCCCTTATAATTGAAAAATAAATATTTTATTCGTATATTTACAATTATTCTTTAGCATTGAGAAAAAGTTTTCAAATAAAAATAAAACTTTCTCTTTTTAGTATTTATATAATTTAGTTTTTATAAATTGGAGTATAATATAATTTTCTACATTTTATTTTAAATTTCCTATTTATAAGAAAAGTAAACTAGAGACAAATATGGTTAAATGACAAGAACTTGAAATTAGATTTTAAAAATTCAAAATGGCTGATCCAATATGGCAGGCAAGATTTTTTTGAAATTCATTGCCTTTACCTAAAGTTTGTTACTTAGAGATTTAAAGGGTCGCTAAATTTAAATGTGAAAAATAAATAATCAAAAAAAAAAGTTTAGATATTGGTCTAAAAGACTGCTACAGCAGTTTAAAGGTAAAAAGTCAAACTTTAGTTTATATTCTTTTGAAATGAGAAAAAAAATTCTTTTTATTTATTAAAAAATTATTCTCATTCTACAAAAACAAAATATATAAAGAAATTTAAAAGAAAAATATTTCCATTCTATAATTGAGATTATAATTTTTTTTCCGATGTGTGAGATATAAAGAATGACATAGTAAATTATACTCACAGTTTCCAAGTCGAAGCAATGGATGTGAGGTTGGTGGTCAAGGATGAGGTGACGATGAAGTGATGAAGAAGGTGGAGGAAAGGACCTTCCTTCGATCCTGCGAGGGGCAGATCCGTTTTTTTTCCGTCTACATTCCCGATTTACGGTTCATCGTTCGCCTGAAATGCAAAAAAAACATCAACTCGTTAATCTTCAAAAGAAATCCACTCTTTTTCTTTCCTATCTTATATAATTGTAACATTTTTCAATGTCTTATTATTATTCAATTTTTAATACGTGTTCTTATATTGTGCCTCATTCAATTTCTTGTTCTATAATATTAAATATTAAATTAAATTTATTTTAATTATTATATAATTTAATTAAATGCTCTATATTAAATATTTTTTGGAATTTTTACTTTTTTAATTAAAAAAGAAATTTTGTATATTATTTTATTTGTAAAGAGAACATTTAAAAATAAATTACTTTTGGGGATAGAGTACGGTTGAAAGTTGTGTATAATTTGACGGGCATATTTGTTCAGTGAACAGAGTTTGTTTTGGTCAGACGGTATCTTTGAAGTGCGAATGATTCAACTACACACAAACACGAGGATAATATTGCCTAAAGTCTATTTACGAGTACTTAATTTCAAAGTATTCACGCACAAATTTGACTTTTGATGTAAAGGTTCTATTTATAATTTTTTTTTATGCAAATAAAAAGTTTATTTGTTAGAATTAAATAAATTTATACTCTATATATAAAATTTACAATATTTTATAAATTCATCGTTATTTTAAGTAAAATCTATAAACTAAATTATACAACCATATTAATAATAATAAATTGATAATTTATAAAATTATTAAATTACTATTATTAATTTGCTATAAGATTTATAATGAAACTTTAATTTTGTGCCCTTTTTGCTTTTTATCACTAAACTGCATTTTACTTCTCCATGCTTTGTCTTCTCGTAATTCTTATATATAATTTACATACCCCCTTCTACCCTTTGCGAATTCTTATACCTCATCTTGGAATAATACTCGCAAATACAAATTACTCAAATAATCCAGGAATTTCTAATAAGCGCATGTTCCACTTTCTAAATTCATTTCAACTTGTCACGTTTCCGAGAAATGGTAGGGAAAAAACGCAAATTAAGACAATTATTTATGGCAAGAGTAATAGGGAAATTCTTGAAAGTTAAAATATATTTCAAGATACAAATTACACTTGGAATTATCCATTAATATGCCCAATGAAATTAATTATTACAAATAAAAAAAACTATATATTCTCAAGTTTAACGTCTTTTGAAAAATTACTACTCAAGAATTTTTAGAAGTGGCAATTGAATTTATAAAGCGTATTCAATAAATTAAAAAAAAAAAATGCCGGACAATTTACATTTACAAAACCCAATGTTTTCAAAATATTAATGATTAGTAATCAGTGAAGTCAATAACTCTCGAGTAACGAGTTTCAAGTGAATTAGAAATGTACACCCCAAAAAAATATTTTATTGGCGTTTATTTGAAAAAAATAAAATTTATTCGAAACAAATAAATATTTATTTGCTATATAAAATATATCTTTCTATATTATAAAAATATTTCGCCGCAACCGCGCCGCTGTTTTAGAAATTTTGACAAGGATGGATCATTCTATGTCAAGTGTACCCAACCCATGTTTTTGACAAGGTTAGGTAAGAGTGAGCCAACCCATGTTTTCGACATGGATAGTACAATAGTTGGTTACACTTGATATGGAATGACCCATATGAATATAAATAAAATGACCTAAATTTTAAGGTTATGTTCGTTTCAAAACTCTGAATAGGGCCGCAAGTCCTCCCCCCTCCCTTACCCTCTCTCCGTATTTCCCCCCCAAAATGATATAAATTTTGAGGTTATGTTCATTTCAAGACTTTCAATATAGCCGCAAGTCCCCCGTCTTCCGCCAAAAATGACATAAATTTTAAGGTTATGATCGTTTCAAAACTAAATAGGGTCGAAAGTCCTCCCCCTCCCCTCTCTCCGTATTTTTCTCGCCAAAAGTGACCTAAATTCTGAGGTTATGTTTGTTTCAAGACTCTGAATAGAGCAGCAAGTCGTTCCCCCTTCCCTCATCTCTCTCCATATTTCCCGTCAAAAATGACATAAATTATTCATTTCAAGACTTTCAATATAGCCGCAAGTGGAGGTAGATTACCTGCCAAAAATGACCTCAATTTAAAGGTTATGTTCGTTTCAAGACTGTGAATATGGTCGCAAGGCCCCCCTCCTTCCTTATGTTGAAAGAGAGGTGGATTTTCCGCCGAAATTGAACTAAATTTTAAGGTTAAGTTATTTTGTCGGGAAACGACCAAGAAACAAACATAACCTCAAAATTTAGGCCAAAATTTGGCGCAAAAAGACAAAGGAACAAACATAACCTCAAAATTTAAGTCAAACTTTGAAGGAAAATGACCAAAAAACGAACATAACCTTAAATGTAGGTCAAATTTTAGCTGGAAAATTTAAAAAATTAGTTAGATTTTGCTTTAAAAATTAAAAATAATAAAAATTATTGTTAATAAAAATCGTAAATGACATTTAAAGAAATAAATAATAAAATATTAATAATAGTTTTAAATGCCAGAAATTGTTTAAACATTAACTCAAACATCTACAAAACCAATAAAAAATAAGGGGTTGATACATATATATATCATTACTATATTATAAAAAGATATCGCCGCCGTCGCTGATTCAAGAATGAACGCTAGGCGAGAATTTCGACGCTACGCGGGAACTCGCTGTACTCGCCTACCATTCAACTCGCGAAGCGTTCAAAATCGCGTACCGTTCAGAATTTGTCTCGAAAATTTCAGAGATTGTACTATCTATATCAAAAACATAGGTTAAAAATTAATAAAACATCAATACTCAAGGTCAAACGACAGAATCATAGCTTAAAACGAACATAACCTCAAAAATCATGGACATATGTCAAAAGCCAAAGTTTTTGAAGGAGTTAAGACAGACATAACCTCAAAATTATTATCAGAAGTCAAGAGATAAACCCTCTCCCTTAAAATATCAAAGGTCATAGGTCAAGAGAGAACATAGCCTCAAATTTACGTCAAAGGTCATAGGTGTGATGCAAGTTAAAATATATCTAGTTTATGTTCATATTAAAATATAAATAAATTTCTGCTGTTAAAATTTAAAAACTTTTTATTAAATATAAATTTAATCAAAATAATATTTAAAATTTTTAGTAAATTTAAATAGGTGGTTGGCGCGCAAAACCCCCCTAGTATATTATATACTGAGAATTAAAGCTCGCACATATTTTTTATATCTTTTTAATACTGATAAATGTTACCAAACATATATATTCTATATCTATTTTCATTTCCGGAATAGTGATGATGGTCTGCTATATTCTGATATGTCAAATTGCATACAGTTGGAAAATCAGTTTTATTGACACTAGATGGAATTGCTATCAAGGGAGTAACTGTATACAGACTGTTTACAGGATTTCAATGACCCTTCACGCAATATTCTACTTGACACAAGGGGCATATTGACGTTGTAAACTGTAAATTAACATTATGACAGTAGAAATCAATGATGTTTCTGATTCTATACATATATATTGACGACGAGGATATAACTTTAATATTGAAAAACAGATGAAAAAATAAACAAACGAACTTTTCACAATATATGTATATATTGAAAATTCACACTGTGTGTACCTAATCCTCGTAGAATTGATGAACTGGAAAAAGTATTCGCTTTTTTACCTTTTATTTCTGTTTTTTTTTAGATAGACAGAGAAAAAGAAGAAATTGCTTCAACGTGACGCCCAAATCAAATGAAAAGTTCACTGACTTTTACAAACTATACTTTGTTCTCGGTGAACAGTGCTATATGTAGGATTGATTTTTTCAGCAAGCTTTTCATTTCATTTAATTTAAATTTTACTATATAGAACAAAATAGAAATATTAATAAAATGAAATATACTGAAAAATCAGAAAGAAAAACTCAAATGTCATCTTTTAATAAATCTATATATATACACTACCGTCGGAAATTGTCGGTACGATTAACGTGCGAGGAGTGGAAATTCGGTGCGGACTTTAAAGCAAGATATTTTAAGTTAGAAAAAAGTTAGAGTTTCATAACTTAGATGGTTGAAAAGCTGATAAAATTCTGCTTCTGAATGTATATATCAAGAAATTTTTTTTGTATTTATAACACCGAAAAGATTTCAAAAAAAAAATTATCCAATTTTCGTACTTTCGTACTAATGTTTTTGACTTCCGGTATAATCTAGAATAATGTATGGAAAAATTTGAAAATTTTACAACATAATCTTTAAGATCTCAGTTTTAATTTGCATTTTTGAAACTTAAAAAATGTTTTATGGTTTCTGAAATATGTTAAAAAAAGGTCTGAGCAATGTTTTTTTACAACTCAGCCGTCGATCATCACTTTTTGCCGCCTCGCTGCTGGCTTGTAGAAAAACATGCTCGAAAGGTTGCCAAATAACCTTGCTTTAAGCCTAAAATTTTTTTAAAATGTTTCGTCTAATTTATATAATAAAATTATATAAATTAGACAAAACATTAAAAAATTTTAAGTTCAAAGCAAGGTTATTTGGCAATCTTGCACCAACCTTGCTACAAGCTTACCCGGCAAGCTTACTGAGCAATCTTGTGATAATCTTATTGTACAATCTCGCAGTAACCTTAGACTGCAATCTTTCGGTAAGCTTACCATGCAAGCTTGGGCCAGGTGGGAAATTTTAAGCTTGCGGCAAGTTTGCCGTGCAAGATTGGCAATATTGCGCCGCGAGCTTGCCGCAAGGTTGCTGCAAGGTTACGTGCTATCTGGGATATTTTGAAAAATCCTTACCGTAGAAATTTAGACCTAATTTAGTGCTCTCAAATAACATTACAAATAATTTTCCAAAAAACTACCCTTAACCTTAAAAACACTACCATAAAATTAAAAGAATTTTTAAAAATCATTACCACAGGAATTTGAAGCTAATTTAGTGTATAATAGATCAAAATTTATAGATAATATATTAATGTTTAACATTATAAATGCGAATAGAAAAATATAAATGATGTTCTCAAAAAAAGTATACTTGAAATAAAAAAAAAA